GTGTCTTGGCTTTCCATGCCTTTTTACATCTCCCTTTCTTCATGTGTTCAATACTTTTTCCCTGTGAAAAACTTTTTTCTGGTGAAAATTTCATGTCATTAGCACCTCTAGTAATATACAGTATTTACTCAGAAAAATGGTGACGTATGTGTTCAATACTTATTTTACCCGCTGTATGTGAAACTATATAACAATGTTTCAGTCTGCAGAAACTGCAATGGTTTGTGTTCCTTTCCATCTCTGTGGGACACACACAAAAACTGCAACTTGCTCATTGTCCCTATWTGAGTAAAGAGGAGTCTTACCTGGATAAAAAGTTTTCCAGGGATCGGGGCTTGTCTTCTTTCTTACAGGCCACCCCRTCCCTTTTCTGCTGCTCCATCTCCCGGATGCGAGACGAAAACATGTCGATGTAGTCAAACACAGCCTTCATGGCGATAGGAACCTCATAGGATTGCTGATCAAAAAGGYATATGAATTAGGATCTAGTTATACTCTGGCAAATTGCATTTAATATTAAAAAATAACCCACAACATAAATGATAGAGCTAGGTGATATGGSCTAAAATCAATATCACGATAWATTGACCAGTTCACTTCAATAATGATRAATGGACGATAACACTAACTCCCCCACCCCCGAAAATAATGTGATAGGTCAACATAAATAATTCACAGCCAGTTATATTCATGGCACAATTCCCTTTTTATTGACACTTTGAAGAACTTTAAAACTACAGCTTTAAATAAATAAATGAAGAAAATGTGTACTTTTAGTTGTTAACCCTCTTAAGTTCGATGCCCGCTCCAGAGTGGGCAAAGACGTGACACATTTAAAGGGCTACTGCAAAAAAAGTGGCAACATACAGAGTGTTCATTTGAACTGGGTTGGACAGCACTGACTTCTAACTTTATAAAAGTAATGTTTTTATATTGTTTTTTATTTACTTCCAAAGAAAACCAGATTTAATGATGAATAATTTTTTGCCATAATGTTGTGCGCATTTTTACGCATTTGATGCGCATTCACAGAATGTTTTGTGACCAGGAAGTGCTTGAATGCACCTTGAAACCTATTTTTTCCATTTCCTCAAACACACCACATTTCCGAAACAACAAATGAAAAAAGTTTGTTCGTAGGCTTGTGGAGAGAGAGGCTTGGAGAGAACGGATTGATTTCGACATTTTGGATTTAGCTAGTTGTGGATTCAATTTTAGTCCAGACATGTGTGTAAGTACAGTATGTTCGTGTGTGTGCAGTGTTTGTCGTGGTGTTGTTAGTCTGTGTGTCAAAATGAGTCRTCGTTACATGACTGTGGAGCAAGCTCTGAAGTACTGAGCTTGAAGAAGAGGAGGAAGAGGATGATAACTGTGCACCAGTGGACGATTCAGACTCGGAGTTTGATTTTGACCATGAGGTTAGTTCTTTGTTTGTTTATTTGTTTATTTGGCATGGAATATATAAAATACAGTCATATGAAAAAGTGTGGGCACCCTTGTAAATTTTCCCGATTTACCTTTTATAGATTGTTTGGATTAAAAATATCAGTTAAATATTTCATATAGAGGACAAACAGTGATATAAGAGAAGTGAAATGAAGTTTACATGATTTACAGAAAGTGTGCAAT